ACCACAGCTTTTTGCATAGATGGGCTAAGAATTTTGACAGCCCGACTCTGCCTCAACAGACTTTATGCCAGACCAGTTTACCCTGCGCCAACCCTATTTTATGCTGGATCATGTATGGTTTATCCTCTAGCACCTGCTTAAAGCATATAAGCATAAAGCTGGCAGAAAGCACGAAGCTGGCACAAGTGCTATGTCACGTGTTTGTGCCCGGTTCAGACGAAACGTGGACTACTGGGTAAACTAGTAGCAAGCAGTCAGAGTATGAATGGTTGTTCAAACTCTGGGAGTTCTACCATTGACTGCCAGGGGCCCTAAACTGCTACTCACTCATTTCATATATTTAAGATTTAACACCAGTCAAAGTCAAGTTCAGTAAAGTACAAAGAAATGCAACAACTTCGTCCTGTTTTCTATTTTGCCAGTTATACTGGATTATTGACAAAATAAACAACAATCATTTTACAATGTTCATTAAATAAAGCATACAACTGATCAATGAACACATAAATTATTAGTGCTAATAAGGCCATACTGTTCAACCTTTAAGGAAACAGAATATAAATCTATTAATAATTAGTGAATAGAACTGAATAGTCAATATATGAAACTGTACTGTGTCTTAGTCAACAACATGTTATTTAACCAGGACTCTTTTAACTTGAACTATCTTATCACCAGAATCTCTAAAGACCTTAAGTACATATGCAAGTACATTCCAGATTATGGATGAAGATGACTTTTTGCATGCTGTGTTGGCAAAATTAATTGAATTTTACACTGAGTATTATTTATTCTCAGTTGTGCAGTGTACAGATTGTACTTAGAAATTACTCAGTACTTTAAGAATTTTGTGAGCATTAACAATGTTATCAGTTAAACTCACCCTATTTATTTTTCATGGAAGTGGTCCCACAACAGACTATTAGAAAAATTTGGCTCTTAAATTCAAGCTAACAAAACATATCTTAAACTTCACTGCCTATTGTGAAAATAACTAAACTACCCTTCGTTTGCCTATACTCAAACTCTAAAGAGGGCATACATCCTCTGAAAAATGACACGCTCGGTTCCCAAGGATCTCACTGGAATATAAACTGCTGGTAGAGCAGATGTAACAAAGGAGAACCTAAAAGATCTACAGTGCAGACTGAGCTCTCCTCAGGGAACTGCGCATTCCCTGTTAGGTGACGGGAAAGTATCTGCACTGGCACGTTCTCCACCTGCATCAAGGTTGCACCTGACCCTGAGATTATAGCAACGGGCAACCGTGGAGGGCATAGCCCAAAATATTCAGCTTCTACTCGGCAAAAAAACTTCTGTCCTTCAGTCACAATACAATACAAAAGCTCTAAAAGAACACTACTTGGATTTTCAATCGATACTGGAGGCAGGGATAAAGTTCATCTATAGCACAGATACCTTCGTAGAGGATAGAGATCTAATCTAGCCACCACACTTGGTGAAGCCCAGTTATCTAGTTAGCTGACCAAATGCAGGTGTTGGCCGTACAACGAGGTGGGCTGCTCTCCAGGCTCCACTGACCGCCCTGGCTGCATCTCCCCCAGCTGCAGCACGAGGCTAGACACTGAGATCACCTACAGACAGCAGCATGTGGGCTGCTACATTTTGATCCCTTCATCGGAACCCATGTTCCCGTGTTCAGTGTTTTCAATGCATTTCTTTTTATATATGACAGCTGTTGCTATAATTCTTAGGTTTTGTCAATCCAGTGTGGCAAACCCACAATGTTTTCTGTGAAGTAGAGGAAGAAATGAGGAGTGGGGGGTAAAAATTCTAGTAGAAACAACAATTAAAAAAAAAATCATAAACTACCTGCAAATGCACCAAGGCATATGCAAAAAAAAAAAATCTCAGCAAACACTATGCTATTTTAGAAATCAGATGCATATTTATTTTTTTTTGTAATTCTGGAAAGAAGTATTTTTAAAAAATCTGAAAATCCTCAACACACAAAAAGAACTAAACCAAAGATGTTTCTACCCAAATTCACTACTCTAAACAGAGCCATTGTTACATGACCCGATGTCAATGTGGTTTTTGCCAGCAGTGATATTTTGTCATCAAAAGCTAATTGGTTAAATACTACTCTACAAATGTTTTTAGTGAGCAGCGAAGGCCTATTTCTCTGAACCAACAAAAAAGAATATGCACTAGAAGTCATTATAGAGCAGGAACACGTAATCCAGTAATTTCATGCCTTGCATCTTCAAGTCTCGCAAATGCCATCACTCAGTGCTAAATTAATTTAGGCTGATTTAATCAAATGAAAACACTAGATAACTAATACAAACTTGAGTTTCCTGAGCCGTTATTTTCTATCTTCCAAAACCTAAAAGCTTATGCTGATTTTACTGGCTAATCGTAGTTGGCAGTTCATCTGCAGACGAGCAGAAGCAAACTACTTCAGGATAAGTAAGTTTAATGTAGTAATTTGTGGTCGTTAACTCACAAAATCATTCTCCCAAGAGACTGGCTTCTCAGGTCAAAACAAGTTTCTTTATGATCATGACTTGTTGACCATGGCATACTAGGATATATACTCAGGTAAAAAGAAGAAAATATAAAAGCAATACAGATTAAAAGACTCAGCTTTTAAGTAGGATATACAGAGTTTGCCTAAAATTTATAGCATTATTATTTTTCTTTAATGATTTTCTACAGTCTGGGCTAGGTCATAGTGTTATTTCCACCTGAAGAATTTATTTGAAAGAAAGAATTTCTTTGGGTTACTACAGAACAACAAAGGAAAATTTATCCTATTATGAATAAGTTGGGCTTTATCTTTTTTTTTTTTAATAAACACAGTTCATATGCATATATAAATTCTCCTTGTTTTATTCAGACAAATACACTTTAATAAGCTTTCTGGTATTTGTATGACCAAGTCTGAATGAGAGTTTGCTAAGCAAACTGAGTAAAGAAGACATCTGTATTTATCCCTTAGATTGAAGGCTGGATGTCCAAAGGTGGTTAGTTTACAGTCCAGCGGATTCAGTCATGAGGTCTTTCCTATTCCACACACGTAGCAGCCCAGAGTTCATTCTCTGTGGATGTTCCCAAAAGCCTTAGCATCATTTCAAGAGGTAATAAGGGGAAAAACTAAACTAGTTTTTTCAAGATCTTAAAAAACGTGTTTACTGAGTATCACTGAGGCTCAGCCATCAAGACACCTTATAAATATACTCTCACTGACACACACTAATACTCCAGAGTCTGGAAGAGAGACACTGCCTAGTACACCTGGTGAAGAAACTGTTTTTAGCGGTATCAATTGACTGATTACGTGATGCAGCATATACAAGGGAATTTGCATCAGAGAGAGCAGTGGTCCCTTCTGGAACGTCAGGTATGCCCACAAATTAAAGCAAGTTTGGCTGCATAGTGTCTGCTGACTTACTTCCGCTAGTTCAGGTTCCACAGACTGTAGCATCTGCTAGCCCCTCAGAGATCCCCTGGACATACAGTCGTGAGCAAATCCTTTTTTTTTCGCAAATCCAACACAACCATGCTTTTGATCCTAACATTAACAATCATAAGGCAGGTAGATTATGCTTCTGGTTCCTATTCCTTCTTAAATATGTCTTTAGATGGAGCAGAGGTTACAAGTTCCCAGTAATAAAACTACCTTTTCTTTGTCCGTGTGTGTGTGTGTTGAAGATTTGGCATTTGGCATCCAGCATCTGCACTGCAAACTCAAGAATTCTTGATTTGGATCTAGTCTTTAGCATTGTAAAAATTAAATAAACACTCATAAAAGTAACATAGTTCTATACATGTATTTGACAGAACAGAAATCCCAAAGGAATCCTGTTCTTGCTAATACTGACTAAAGCAATGACAGAATAAATCTCCAGCATGGAAAGTGTTTGCTTCAAAGTCCTGTCTATGCTGTTTAAGGTCCTACCCTAAAGCATGTACTGGCAAATCAAGGAGAGGAAAATATTAATAATTATTACTTTGATGTTAAAAATAGCTTATATAAAGAATCTATAAACCCTTTAGTAAGGATATGTCTTTCTTTGTTATGATGATGACTTGTCTTTTTAAATCCTTTTGGGCCGCAATTCAGTAAAGCACTTAAGCACAGTACTTAATGTCAAGCACAACTCAATTTCCACTGGATCTGAAGTGTGCTTTTGGGTGATTTACTGAATCACAACCTGCATTATTAATGTTCCCTTTCAAATTAAACATTTTTCCAGAGAAAGAGAAACCAGGAAACTCAGGAAGATTCTCTATAGCTTATTCCACTGAAAGGGAGGAACAGTACAGAAGACATAAAAATTTATAGTCCACCAAAGCACAGAATGTGTATGAATACATTAGAAATTTCAGTCTCAGGACATTCGCCTGACATTCCTAGTCCAGGTTTACAAGCTCAGTTCCGAAAAGCAGTGAAAAAAAGTAAAGCCAAAATTCAGCACTTATAAAAAAGGCAACATAATTAATTCACAGTAAACTGGTCATCAGTCTGTAAATAACAGGTGAGTGATGTAGCAAAACACAGGTAACACTGTCCAATATCCTGTTAACAGACAACTGGTTTCTGATGGGAGTTTTCCTCTTTTAAGGTTTGCCTCCTAAGATTATGACCAAATATGTAAACCACACTGTCATTTTCCAAGCACCTTCTTGCTACATACCATTCAAAAAAAATAAAATAAAAGTTGGCAAATAACTAGAGAGGATGCAAAAAATAAATGTTGGATTCACACACAGATGCAAACAGATATGAGCCAGAGACCTTACTGGAGTAATATCTATTTACCCCTAGTAAAGCTTGGCCAAAAATGTTTTCATACAAAAGGAATGTGCAATATATGACCCTACAAAGCCATCACAATGCAAATCATTAAGTTGCTATCATATGATGAGAGTGGAAGCATAATTTTTTTTTAAATGGCTTTCAATTAAGTGGCTTCATTTTTAACAATGCTTAATGCATGTCTTCACAGGAGCTTTGCAAAGTAAGAACTTACCTGAGCTTTTATTGGTTTTATTTTGTCTACTCTTTACTTGCTCAGTCCATAATGTAGGATAACGAGAAGCTATATCTGGAAAAAAAAAAAGAAAAAAAAACAACAAAAAATTGTAAATATTATAAATTATTTTTAAAGTTACTATCAGCTGAGTAGCAAGTAGCCAGTTTTAAAGACACATGGATCAACAAAGGAAAAGGACACATTGTTTTTTATTAGGACAGTTAAAACCTTTATTCATGAAAAGCCATGAATAGTTCCTTTCTTATCCCATTTATAGAGTAGGTTAAAAGAAATACTTGTAGACTAAAATTGTGTTTAATCAGAACAAAAATATCCCAGTGTGGGCCCAAAATATGCAATTACTTCAGATCAGATTCTGTGAGACTTGTAGTAAGTGGTAAAGCAGCCAAAATCTAGGACTATCATTGCATATGGGCCTTGAGCTTTCCATTTACAGAGCATTGAATTTCCCCAGAGGCAAATAAGCCTGACAAAATATCAACCTTAACATTACTAGACAATATGCTGAGGACAGAATTTATCCTTTAACTTCCTTATTTAGCCATACAGTTTTAACCTGCACTCTGGTTCAGGTTTAAAACCCGTCTCTGCCTTGAGTAGTGACAATTAAAATTGGTAATGTCAGACTCCTTAGCTACAGTGTCATCCCAAAACTATCACACGAAATTTATTGCTCTTTAGTAAAGGCTCTATTGTGTTTGCTGGTTTTATCTGTAGAAAAATACCGATGCTTTTTATTTCTTGCAATTGCCCCAGAAGTTGCTCTAACTCTTAAGGTTGCATTCGATGTTGCTCACCTTCTTCATCACCTTGAGGCTGAGTCTCCAGCGCAGGAGCTGAGGCATCATCTGAATTCAGAATGGAAAAGATTTGCAAGGAGACTACAATTATGAGAGTAAGCTAAATAAGTGTACATACGTGATTGATACTAATGATTTGCACATAGCCCCGGCCGGTAAACAAACAGTAATTTAAACATTATTTATAGGTACTACACAGCACAAATATATTACGCGTGCAGACTACAGATTATAAATGGATGTTTTTTGAGATTATGTCTGATTAAATGATTGCACAGCCTTTTAAGTAATAGGGTCACTCTCTGGACAACAATTCTTAATTTCTAATGCTGCACATTGATACCTATAGATTATAACTGATCAAACCAGCATCTGTAAAGAAAATTGCACAAATGTAGAGAAGGGGTAAGACCTGTGGAAGCAAAAGCAGTCCGAGGCAAATGAGTGGCTGCAGACATGTTGACACCTTAAAATTGAAGGAAAGTTTGTTTTGGCACAGCAAAGCCTGTTTAAGAGTCAATCTGATTTTATAAACAAGAGTCACAGATTAAAGAACTAGAATATTGTCCGTATAATTCTTATCCTCTGGTCAGCCATCTCCATCCGTCCACTATCAACCTTTGCTGCAAGAAAAGGAGGAAGATTTACAGAAATGATAAGAGGATGTGAGGTTCAATAAAACTTTAGGTTCAGTAGACACAGTAGACACAGTGCTGGAACACAGTAGACATAGTGCTGGAAAAGAAAAATTCAATATGAAAAGATATTTAAGTTAGTATTCTGTGAGAAAATTTTCTTTACTTTAAGTTATTGCAGATATTGGGTAAATATGACTTAGTAGACCTTGCTAGTACATATTTTGCAATTGTTGTTTCCTGTAGCACAGAGCTAACTCCAGGACCGATATGTCCAACAGTAAACAGCATCTTCCATGCAAGGGTTTTATCAGCATTTCTTGCAGTTCCGTAACTGCATCTCAGACCAATAGTTTCCAGATTGTTTTCTGACATTTTCACAGAAGCTAGAACCAACGGTAAGTGAGAAGCTTTCTCTTGCACACAGCCTTACTAGGCAAAAAGCACACAGTAGCTTTAAGTCTAACACATTATTTGTATCTATTTCTCCTTGCTGCTGCAATTCAGAACAGACTCCTCCTGTTCTGTTTGTTGTCACCATCATAGGTTTTTCTTGTAAATCTGTATTGTCTTCATGCAAATCATTCAGAGGGTTTGGAGGCACTCTGATCTTCACCTCTGGAGGCCACAACCTAGTTCACAGCAAATACAGACACCAGGTAAATAGTGATAGAAGGCAAAAACAGATTTGCAGCCATGGAACACTAACCTCCATGCTTTTCAGAAAACCAAAGCAGCAGCAGTAGAAACTTATTTTCACTGCAAAACTTTTTAACCAAAGCATAAGGAGTTTTCTTTTAAGAATGCTCTTTTTTCATGTCCATGTAATAATGACAGGATACTTTGCTTCAATGTCATAACCAAATGTCACTTCTCATTGCTTTCGCTAGTGGTTTTGTGGTGTCCTCTGGGTGGTAGAATAAGACCATTGATTAATTTCAGAGGTCATCAAGTAACCCAGGGTACTGAGAATCAAGACATATATTTAGATCATCAATCAGTACGTTATTCAGAAAATCATGAATTTCAGAGAGTATCTTATGGTAGGTAAATATTACCAAGACCCCAGACAGAAACTCAATTTTGAGTTTAAATGACATTTTAACTTTTCGGTACACAATTTCAGTTTGTGACACATTCGATCATAGATTATTACCTGAAATTCAGACAGCTGTAACTTTAGTGATCATCAGACCGATCAAAATTAACTTCTTGAACTTTGTTCAAGCAGCATTTAAAACAGTTTATCAATTTTTATTATTATTTTTGTAAAAAATTCAACAGATGTTGCCTGATCTAGTTGAGAGGCATCCCTGCCCATGACAGGGAGGTTGGATCAAATGATCTCTAAGGCCCCTTCCAGCCTAGGCCATTCTATGATTCTATGTTTAATGGTTCAGTCATTAAACTGGACTCAGGTTGCTCCCACCCTAGAGAAAGAAACAGGTGTGGTTTCCATCACCAATGAACCAAACTGTTGGAACAGGATAGCTGTACAATCCAAAAGGCATTAACTGCACTCCAAAACTAGAGCAGCTACAACAGCTTCTGAACTACCCTTAATCTACAGGAAGACACCAGCATTCATTTACTGTTTGCACTCTGGCAGGTATGTCACCTTTTCATAAAAACCTGTTCTGTTAAGAATAAAGAGGCACATGACATTCATTGTTCAAAACAACATTCAGTAGACAGCAAAAACTGTGAAGCAGTTCATCTTCATGTTAATTGGCTATCTCACATGTTAATTGCATCTGTTTCCTGGATGGCACAGGCACATCAGTCCATATGTGCGTACATTTAAAGAGAAATCATCCTGCTTGCTGTCAGAGCTCAGTTACCAAGAACATAGTCCTGCAGATAGCTAAGAATCAGAGAAAAAGGACATGACCCCATCTCTAACACCTGTGCTTTTCAGATAATCTGAACATTTTCCTGTGATAGAGGAAGGAACTGTGGAGCCAGAGAAAATGCTTTAGAAATTATCTTTTAAGCTTTACTGCTGTTCAGTTTAATGTGCAAATTTGCAAACATGCAAAAAGAGTTCCTGGCCTCCAAAATTTGCTGCTGGAAATTTTCTTTCAGTATTGGAATACATAGAGAAAGCGAGGTGCACAGCTGCAACAGACATGGCCCACCGGGTCACTTTCTCCTGTGAGCGTCTGTGAGACATCTTGGAAGAAGAGACTGACTCGGGCTAAGTCTACGCTGTCTCTTGAGTGGAGTCCTCAGGAATGCACTTGAAGGTCTGCAGCATGTCCTCTGCAGCAGTGACAAAGTCATGAATCTGCCTAAGCTTGCTGGGTTACAGCAGAGGTAGGGAGGGTTTTTTAGTCATTTCCAAAACTGCTGCTGTGCCCTTTCAAGCTGAGCTACAAAATACTTTTTACTACACTGACTGTAAAGCCGAAGCACAAGTCTTTAACTCAAAGAGCTGGTCCTGGTCATTACTCTGTGATGGTCTCTGAAAAGGTGGTGGTGTCTCCAACACATGGCTTTATTTAAAGGATGAGGAAGTGGTTGGCTGGAAGAAGGGTGGGGAGAGGAAGACAGGGATCACTGGGGAACAAGATCAGAAGCACTTCGGGCTGCAGGCTTGCAATGGAGAATAAAACTGAGGTGTGAATAAAATGCAGCCGTGTCATTTTAGACACGAATACATGAGATGCGAAGGAAGACTTGACAAATTCTGTTAATTTAAGCTCCTTGTTCTGTGATTGCTCATTCAGAGTCAAGCAGCTCAGCCACCAGTCACAAACAAAAAAGAAGGATTCCAAGCAAGTTTTGTATATGGGATAGGTCATTCGGCTGAATGTTGAAAATGAAAGTCCTGGCCTAGAGCAAATGGGTAACTTAAGGTTAGTGGAACCCACAATATGTCTGGAAATAAATGAAGAAACAATTTTTCCAGTACTTTGTAATTGTTAGCCTTTAAAGTACTGATTTTCTTAGCCTAACAGCCCAATAGTTTATTTAAATGTTGGGTATATTACAACATTGCAGAAGTTCCTATAAAAAAATATTTCAATTATATTTACAGTGTACCAAACAGATAGTCACTAACATTAGCACAAATATGAAAAAATTCTTTAAAATTAGTTTATGGCAGTAACTGACAGCAACATTCAGTACATTATTTTCATCTGAATTAAAAATTCTTTAAAGTGCTGGGAGAGTGCAAGTTTTAACTTCGTTAAAAGACCTCTCGCAATTTAAATCTACCAACTGCATTGGAATGACATCAGATTTTGTCCTGCCAACAAGATATACACCATGATCTGTCTCTAACAATAACAGTCCTCTGGCTACGAATGTAAACCATCAGATGTATTAATCATAATATAGAGCAAAGTACTGGGTCCAAGATGACTTAAGCACTGTCTGCTATGGAAATAAAGTGGGGGCTCCAGTTCCTGACATTTTGGGACTGCAGAATACTGTCTTTATCAAACAGACAGAATAATCTGTCCTCCAGGGCAAGCAAACAGTATGGGAAAATATTTCAGAGTATAGCTATGGGAAGAAAAGTTGTCTTCCAAACAGCACAAAATAGCAAAGTCTGTAGTGCTGAGACTAGAAAAATATAGCGTCTATGCATATAGGTCTATATACATGCATACATATATATACATGAATATTCATAAATTTAGTAAATATTTACAGTGCAGATGGAAAATTAATAGCATGTATGCATGTATACATGTTATATATGCAGCTATAATACATGATGAATATACACTGATAATTTAAACCTATGGAAAATCACAATGGGGTATCCCACAGCTATTTTAGCTTCTATTTAAGGGCCAACTAAGATATTTACCTGTTTTTCCTGCACCTTCTCGTTGTGGCAGCTTCTCACTCACTGAACCTGCAATTGGAAAAAAAGAATTAACCCAAAAACTATTATTCACACTTCTCTAGGGAACACGGTTCAGCTTTAATGATTCAGGTTCTTTTATTACAGCAATAAATATCAGCAAAACCTTCCCTTGCAAACCAAAGAGATTAGCTTTCCCTGACATTTGCGCACGACCAATTTACAATCAAATCAGACTCCATTTCTTGGTCGTCGCAGGACCTGAGAAAGAGAAGACATAGAACACTACACAGACCCATGGGCAAGAACATGCTCATGAGCTGCAGAGTCAACGTCTCTCTCCCCGACTGACCAAGTGAGGATCAGGTCCCCAGCATCGCTCCCCCATGGTCCCTCATGCAGGGCAGCGCCCTTCCTACACACCCACATCAGCTGCTCCAAGGGGCTTCTTCAGCCTCTAGCTCAATCCTGGCTCAGACTAAAAAACTGACCCTTTCTGCTTTAAATGCCTCATAGAAAGCCCTCCGGAAACTTGGTGTGGAAAAGTGCAGGGACAGCACCTTATTCTGAGCCTGAGCCTGAGTCAGTGGCACACGAGCCTGGAAGCTGGACCATAGGAAAGGAGACAGCAGTGGTGGGATGGGAGATAAGAAGTTTGCAGGAGATGGGTTTTAGCAGCTTATTCCACCACCCTGGGCTCTAACCCAGGTTTCGCTCTTGATTTCAAGTCATTGAGAAATTGAGAATTTACTGGTTTTCTTAGTAGTTTTTGTAACAGAGAGTTGTCCTTAGGATTTAAAATAGAAATACTTCCATATTTCTTGCTGACGTCTCATTATTACAACCATTTGCATAATTTTAATTCCTAGTTAACTCCTAGCGACATATCTATCTCTGCTGCATTAAAAAAACACCATTAAAAGTAGCCTTTTTCTCTCTGAAGAGCCACATTGAATGATTAAAAATTAAAAAGCATAACGTCTATCAATTCTTACCACATAGTATCTTCTTTCATACACCTGCTTTAAAGAAGAACAAAACCCCATATCCAATATGCTTGGAAGTGTGTGAAATAATTTGGTTGTGTTAATTTTCTTAATATATTTCCCTTTAAAGTAGATAAATCCACTGGGTTTAAAACAAACAAACAAAAAACTCCAGACCTTGCAGCACAATAAATCTGTTCTAAAAGGACAATTTAAATAAGAGAACCCACTAAATCACAGCCCTGGTTTGCCGTGCTGAACTGATAGTTACTTCAGAACGAAGTTTAGACATGGGAGTCTGCCAGAGAGAAGGCAGCTAACATCACAAATCTGGCATGCTGATTTTAAAGCCTCCATAGAGGAATGAATATTTTAGAAGACAATACATAAAAGAAAATACAGCCAAGCTGTTACTAGCTTCTGAAGGCTTCAGCTTTCAATATAACTTCGATATATCCATATCAAAAATATCCTAATTTAGATCTGCTTCCATTTTGGTGTATTATGTTTGAATCATCAGAAATTCAATACATTTAGTGATGCATCAGTATTAACTCAGACAGGAAAAAGAAAATCATTAGCATTGCAGGAATGATATTCAAGGGTGTTTGGGATAGCTTGCTCTAAATAGGCTGCAACACTAACCCTTGTTTTTCACTCTGAAGAGGAGGCAGATTCTTGCATTTATGTTAGCTGAAGCCAGAAGATCTGAGCTTTTTGGTACTTGGCTTGAATCTGATAACAGGCTCAGCTTGAACTCAAACAAGATGTTCCAGTTGTAGGAACCCTGTATACAAAATTGCAGGGTTTGCTAATTGCACTAAATACCAGCGGTCCAATCTTTCTTTAAATTTCATCCAGTTACAATTAACTCTGTAGTTTCTCAATTCAAATACATATATATAAAATTATATGCACAGGTGTATAATTATAATTCCCTTGCAAATACAGAGATTTTAGGTCTGAGTGTCATCCACATTAAAATGTGTTACACCAGTTTGTGAGTAGGAATGAGGTCTCAGCACGGAGAATGCATGTGACGAACTGTCACTGACAGCTCCACTAAAGAAAAAAGGGTGTTAAGTAAAGCCTTAGTTTGATGCTAGTGTTGTCTCTCTATGTACATTCAGAACCACTATTAAAAACCAAACTTAAAATTAATTTATATATAAGAAATTTAACATGTTGGTGAAATTTACTTAATATTCCACATCTTAAATGAAAAGCAGAAAAATCTTTTCAGATTTCACCAACACCAATATGCCTTCAGATTACTCCATCTGTATGTGAAATGGTGAAAAACAATGACTATATGATATTCATGTGCAGTCAGGGAGAGTTGAATTTTCTTTTCATAGAATCATAGAATGGCCTAAGCTGGAAGGGACCTTAGAGATCACTTTAATCCAGCCTCCCTGCCACCAGAGACACCACCATGCTTTTTTATGTGCTTTCCTTTATATTACCTTGAATTTTGATGGAAAATTGATGGATGGAGGAAAAAAGTGGCATTCACAAAGGCTAACTCTATCACAGTTAATCTAATTTCAGTATGAAATCAGATATAAGCTAGGAAAATTAGGTTCACTGGGCTAATATAATTTTTTTTTAAGTCTTAGGAAGCTAACAAATACATTCACAGAATTTCCTACAAAGGGAAAACTACATCCTTCAAATAGTTTCATCTGAAATTTTCAATTTATGAAGCAGAAACTTTTTTTGCTGCTCAAAGTCTGAGAGGCAGAGGGGTTATTGAGCTTGTACCATTTTTTTCTGAATATATTTAAGGAAGAAGTACTTCTTTCTTAAATGGTAAGAGGAAGTTGCATTTGCAAGTTTCTAGGAAATTTTATCCTCAATATTCACATCGAATGCTCACATTTTCAGCTTAGGCAAGAAACAGAAATGGCCACTTTTATCTAAAAGTTAGACAGTACAATTAGCTTCAAAATTTTCAGCTTTCTACGCCGCTCTTTATCTCACATATGGGTGTGTCTGGCTGTGTATGTATCGGGAAAGTAAAATGTATGGGGACAAACATCTAGATGATTCAAGGATAGATATTTTTCCCAGCTAATAAAAGCAATATAATGTAAATTTGAAAAGTTCATTGCCTCCTGAAACACATTAGTTTTCACCATATTATCTGATAATAACACTATAAAGGCAGGAAGAGTTCAGAATTTGTCAAGGTACTTGTATTTTGGCCTTAAAAGATGATTATGCTGTCTTAATTGTAAGGTAGCGAAGTTGCTTCACAGAATAATAAAACACATCTCCACACCTCTGTAATCACACTGGCAGAAGCACAGAATAGTTAACAGGGCATAAAACCCTACAATAGGTGAATATTGTGTTTTCTAATTATAATTTAACACCTGCTTCTTAAGTTCTGCCCCATTTCCCAGGGCTCTGTGCCTATGGAATTTCTGCAGTCCCCTGCAGTCCTGATAACAGAGATGAGGAGTTGTAAAAATGCCTTTTTTATGTCTGGTGTTCTTTAGTGAAAGTATTGGGGGACATTCATCATTTTTTAGGAGCTTTATTTTTAATACTGTCATGGGAATGTGTTTGATTTACTTTCCTTCTCACCACTGCTCCTGCAACAGTGGAGATTATGTCCACAGAGTGGAATGACATTTTGAGATTTATCATCTGTGTTTTAGCTGTGTTTAGTGTTGGTGTGGGAATAACTGGAAAGGATGGAAGAACCTCTTTCAGGTAAAGATATAGCAATTAAAGCAAAGGTTTTATATAAATCAGTTTGAGAGTCCTTAATTTTTTAATGCAGTTTATAACCTTCATCTTTCTACATCTTGCTTCTCTAGCAAAAAAGAACAACCAGAATACAGTGAGCAAAAAATGGCTCATACAGTTATTGCAGATACACTAAAAACATACATGTGACACTTTTCTGTCCTTGGACCTGAGATAGCTTTAGGAAGCATCACATTATGCAGCTAACCAATATTAGCATTTAGATAAACTTAGAGGTTGTGTCACCTATCCAATATCACACAGTAAATGTGAAGCACAGATTGGGGATGGAACCAGAAAACCAAACTCCTAACTGGCCATCCTAAATTCTGCTCCGTATTTTCTTTATTAAAATCCAAATTCTTCCAGGCTCTCACACTCTTCTTTCCTAATTCTGGATATTCATGAAAGTCAAAGATGGTTCTACTGGGAGAAAATGAAAGGCAAGAAATTATCCCATAATTTAGGAACGGTACAGTTGATTAAACATGCATTCAAACCTTATCTTAAGTTACTGAAGAATTAACCTAAAATTGAAAAGAAACACTGAATATTTTAATTAAAAAGAGATATTTTCACACATTCCATGGTATCACATTTCCTATGGGAAAACCATTTCAAAAGCATGTTCACAATCGACTCTACCTGCTATTCTAATTGTCTGTGTACATTCTCTAAAGGAAAAAGGTGGCAAAAGTGATCATGGGAGAAAAGTCTGATACATATAAACTGAGAAATTTGCATAAATGTCTTTGAAATAGTTACAGCATGATACCTGTGTAATACACAGAAGCAAATGAAAATACATAAACACGCTGCTGTCACGATGCCACTGCTATTGAGGATCTGCTTGCAATATCAAAAAATAGCAAGGCAATGCCTGCAGCAAGGCTAGTAATGACACAATATATTAAACAGACTAGGGATGATAATGTTGGAAGAAATGGCATCCTTCAAATACTAGTTAAAACAGGAGTACATCTACTCCAGTATACCCATTAATATTTTCATTGCAATTCCTCTGCACAGTGGTGCTAAACAAAAGTATAAAAAGGGAACCAGTGGTGATCTGGTAAACATCAGCAGTCCTTCTGGGGAAAAAAAAACCCTCATCCTAAACAGATGGCAATTTTGAATATGCACTGTGAAATGCAATAAAGGTGCAGTTGTGCTTCAAGCTTTCATTCTGCAATATCAGAGCAAAGTTTTGCCTTATTACAACACATAACTTTCTGAGAAAATCTGCAGCTGCCTCCTCTTCTGAATGAGGTTTCTTCCCACTGCTTATGTCTGAGCCCTTAGCCCCTACCACTGCAAAATTACCTAAATTTCAAACCTATTTCCAAACTCTGCTGTAGCTAGGCTTCCTTCTCAAGGGACAAAAGAGAAGTGGTGAGCCGTAAAACATGAGATCACTGATGCAAAGGAGGAAAAGTGCAAAGATAATCCCAAAAGGTCTCATAACAATTGGAAAATTACCCATGATCTTCTATGGAGCAAAATCAGAGTCTGCATAATCACCTGGGCCCTGGAGAAGTCTATCTGTGAGCTATGAAATTAAAATTGAGCACAGCTATCACTTTCTCCTTAGCATTCCTGTAAAACTTAACTTCCCTTCCCATCCCTCCAAAAATGAGCTGAAGCAGTCTGGAATCTTATGTCCAAGGCACATGAAAACACATTTGAGAGGAACTGGAGTTTAGTTCCTGTACAGACAGAATAATTCTCATATTAATCTAATAATTGACCTAGAACTACACTGCAGCTTCTCCTCAATAATATTAAATACAAACAGAAAAAATAAAAGTACAGTAACTAACTGAGCAACCTTCTTAGGTTGTTCAGTTCAGCAACTACTTGCTGAACTTTCATCATCAGCATAATCCTTTTTTCACTGATTTTAGTGAAGGGAGAAAGCTACAAATTCATATTGCAGAGACAGCAATGAAGGCACATTTTCAGAGAAGCCCTGGCTTCTCTGCAAAAGCATCTCTATACTCAAACATATTTCAAAGCACAAAAAAATCTATTCCAATCATGTGTCTTCTGAACACGTTATCCAGTTAAAAATGTTAACTATACTTAAATGAATGCACATTTTTCTCTATTTTAAGGCTTCTGGACATTTTGTAATATTTTTCTCAATTGGCTGTCATTCCACAGTAACTTTTCAGATTGGATCAAAAGTCTGCAAAGTATTCACCCACAGGCAAGATGCATGGAAGATTCTGCAAATCATTTAAACAAGACAGATCTTAGAACTCTAACTTTTTGCAATCTTTGTTGAAGCTTTCTCAGTGATCTTGTCACTTCTCCATCTATTAAAAGCAAAGCTATATTGTGCTTGATTGATTGCAGTAGGTCAAATCGGAAGAATTCCCTCAAAAGCCCTAGTCCATTTGCTTTTTAGTTTCATTTACACTACAGGGTTAGATTTTTAAGTGCTTGCTTTATTTCTCTCACAGAGAATGGTGCTGCAGCACAAACAGAAATGCAATACATAGAGCTCAAATATTTTTAGAGCTGTTTCTGTGTAATTTTGTCAGCCTCAAGGAAGGTGAATAGCAGTTCTGCAAACTGTCAATGAAATAGGGTCAGTAGCAAATTCCTATAAAATAGTGAAGCTGTTAATTGTCTTAATGAAAGCCATGGCAAAGAGTTTGATTTCCCAATTAATTTCTAAAGACAATGATTCCATTATGTTCTTAATGTTTTGCTTCATTTTTGTTTCTCCTCTGGATTTGGTTATTCATGGATTTTGCTATGGGAAACCTTTCATTATGCTCTATTATAAATCAGGACATGCACACGCCATGTTTTGGGGGGGGTATGGGTTATTTTTTTATGCTCTAAATATGTACAATGTCAAAAAGACAAAGTCTTCTGAAATTTTTTTTGCAGTGAGTTTATGTGCAAGAGAGTTACAACATAAAGGACCAGCTCAGCAAGTCAGTTGCATGGTTTCATATATTGACACATAGAAATAACCACTGCAGAAAACCCCTTCCATAGCTAAACTATAGTACAAATAAATTAGTTGGACAGTAGAATCACAGGGAGATTTAGGGCGGCAGTAACCTCAGACCACACACGGGGCTAGCTTAAAAGCTAGACCAAATTTCTCAGCGCCTTGTCCAACTGAGTTTTGCAAATCCCCACAGATGTGGCATCCACAATATCCACGCCCACCTGC